CCACAGTCGGAGCCCAAACGGCTTCCTTTCTCCTGTGCCAGCTGTCCAGCTCCCAGCCTTGCCCCCGTACCCATCAGAATTTGTCTCCTTCAACTGGAGTAAAACTCCACATTCCTGGACTGGGGATAGACTCAGTGGCAGACTACCTGCCTGGCATACAGGAGGCCTTAAATTCAGCTCCCAGAACTACAGTGAAACAAACACCCTCGCCCACATTCTTGACAGTGCCCTTAGATCTCAGGTGACGGTTCCCTGGCCCACCCACTTCTCTCCACTTGATCTCTCTGAACCCCTAGGTTCCAGACCCTCAGCCTTCACTTTGGATGTGCCTTTGTTCGCCACTGTCCCCTTTGCTGTCTCCAGGGCTCGGTCCATCAGGCCCCAGCTGAAGTTTCTCCTTCTCAGACAAACCAACCCAGCCATCCCCAGCTGCCTGGCTTGGCGCCCAGGCTAATGCTCTGCTCTGTCCTTCCTTATACCCTGGGCTCTGACTGCTTTCGCTCATTCTCTTCTGCCTTTAGAAGTAAGCTCCGTGGGAACAAGGAACTTGTCTGCCTTGTTCCCTGGGCCACCCTAAGTCCAAGCAAGTGCTCCTGTGCTTGTCAGGATGGAGAGGGAATGGTTCTGAATGCCTGGGATGTCAGAGGTGCTGTGTGGGGTGGGGGGGTGGGGGGTACACATGGGAGAGGCCCATCACTGGATCTGTGTGTGTATATGGGTGAGGTCTGGCACAGTGTGTGTGTGGGCACAGGGTGTGTGTGTGTACACTGGGAAGGACAGTGAAGGGTGGGCCACAGTGACTGTGGAAACTATTTGTAGAGTGACAGTTTCTCCGGGGAAACTTGAAGTAAGTTCCTTTGTGGGGCAGCAGGACCGCCACAGCATTGGCTGTCGGGCGGTACCCGGCTCCCCTCAGTCCCGCCCCCCAGGCTCAGGCCGGGCTGGCCAACGTGGCGGAGGGAGAGCGCAGGCCCCAGCTCTGGGGAGAAAGTTTGTCCGTTACTGCTACAGCAGGGATTTGACCAGGACGTGCAGTGCCCAGAGCCCAGCCCGCCCGCCTAGCGCCACTCTATCGCTATGGGTAAGTCTCAGCCATGAATCTCAAGCCATCCCCACCCCCTCCCGACCCTGCGACAGGCAGGCGGTGCCCCGCTGTCCATCCCCTTCCCGGGGAGTGGCCTGGCCGCAGGGAGCCCCCAGGAGTTCCAGACTTGGGATAGTTCCGCAGACAGGGTCCCTTTAGGGTACTCAGACTGCTTGAGCTCTGCAGACAGCTCTGAGGGGACTCCAGTTCTGCAGACTGGGCCATACACCCCGGAGCCAAGTCAGCCAGCAGGTCTCTAAGCACCTCACTGCTGGGTATTGCCCTAGGGGCAGGGCATGACAGGGATGGATTAGACAGAACTCCTGGGCTGGATTTCACTCCGGTGAGAGGAGACAGGTCCACTAATGTGGCGTTCTAGCCAGGAGGACAGGTCTTTGCCATTGCAGGCGATCAAGATTTCGGTTATCTTTTCTGGATTCAGAAACTTAAAGGGATAGTCAGTTTCTCATTCTTCAGTGGACGTGAGGTTCAGATCATGCCCAGGGGCTGGGACACGCAGTGAACAAGGAGACTGTGCCCTCAGTCTCGGAGGTGAGGAGCTGGGGACAGGGTAGTGAACACGAGCTGTGGAACACATGGGTATGAAGGCCAGGAGGTGTGTTCCTTGGGTAGCACAGGAGGCCAAAGCAGACCTGAAACCTTCTCCAGAAGTGGGTTTTGCTGAGACGGGAGTCGGAGGTTTGAGGGGGTGGCTCCCAGATGGCAGAAATGGACATTGGGGTCCAAGCCAGGGGCTCAGCAGCTCAGTGGATAAAAGAAGGGGGCTGAGAGTCCAGTAGGGGACAGATCATGGTGGGCTCTGAGGGCTGTGAAGAGAAGTTTGGATGTCATTCCAAATGACAAGGGAAGCTGGAGGGTTTAAGCTGCAGTGGTGGATGGGGTGACTTGTCTGTTAAAACCTTACCCTAGGCTGTTCAGGGGAGAATCATCGTAGCTAACACTGGTTGTGAAATAGCTATTATCCCATTTGTTCAGAAAGGTTCACTCTCTCAGCTCTCTCAGGGAATAAACCTGTTTCTCTAACAGGTTGGAACAGGAGAATAGCAGGGAAAAATTGGTTCAGACCAGAGCAAGAATCAATCCCAGAAAGACAATTAGGATCCCTGGAGATCCATGCCGGGTATCTGGGACCCATGATGTCATGATATGAGCTTCCATGGGCTTAAACTGTCTTGTCTTAGTCAACTGATAAAGACCACATGCCTCTGTCTGGGCTGGCTCCTTTGTGGCTTTCCTTGGTGGACAGTCTGGTTCCTCTGATTCCCTGGGATCTCCATGACAAAGCTCTGCCATCAGCCCCAAGGGTGACAGGGTCCTCTGGGGTCCACAGCTGTAGTGGCTTCAAGAGTCCCTGGCCAGCTGATCATGGTGATATAAGCCTTGAGAAAATCACTTTCTAGGTGGCTCTGGGCCAGCACGGTATCCCCAAGGGCTCTCTGCTCTCCCAGGAAAGCCTTTTAATTAAGTTTATAGCTTTGTAGCTGCAGTGGGTGGGACTTGGTGGACTTCTCAGATGCTCACAAAGCATACCACCTGTTAGCCCAATACAACGTGCTTGGCTCATTTCTAACGGTGTGACTCTGCAGAGACCTTGCCTTTCTCAGGCCCAACTTTACACAGGATTCTCAGACTAGACTGTCCTGCTCTGGCTCCCAACCCTCACTGTAAAGCTGGCAGAAAGCGGCTACCAGTGGTTATGCCACAGCCTGCATGTGACTGCCTTGAAATTTCCGTTCAGCTTAGTTGTTTAAAAATCACTTCTAAAAAAATGTGTGTGTGTGTGTGCATGCACATGTGTGTGTATGAAAGAGAAAGAGAGGTGGTGATGATGGCATGTGCGTGTGCGTGTGCGTGTGCATGTGCGTGTGTGTGTGTGTGTGTTTGTAGATGGGTGGGAAGAGGAGTACGGAAGTACACGTACCATACTGTGCTTATGGAGATGAGAGAATAGCCTTAGGTAATCGGTTTTCTCCTCCACCTTGTTGAGACAGGGCCTCTCTGGTTATTTTTGTTGTCTGTGAGCCCCAGGGTAGTTGCCCTCAAGCTTCTGGGTGACTCTATTATTCTGCTTCCCACCTTGCCAGAGGAATGCTGAGATTACAAATGTGACCACCACATCTGGCTTTCTGTGTGTTCTAGGACTCAAACTCCAGGTGTCAGGCTTGTTCAGCAAGCGCTTTTACCTGCGTTTGGACAGTCTCACCGGGCCAAAAGTATGACTTTTAAATTTAGAGTTCCAAATGGTCTCTCAAGGCGTGGACAAATTGTACATGAATCCTTTGTTAGAATGTAACAAATGGCCTCTAGTCCAATTCTGAATAGAACCTTCATTCCTGTCTGAAGCGCATGCGCGTCTGGGCTTCAGTGCCTGCCTTCCTGTTGGTGTTCTGGTCTTCTGAGCTTCTACAGACACACAAATTAAGCCCTGATAATAGCATTCTTGGATTTCTCTAGTCCAGATCTCTAAACTCTTGCAAACCCCTCCCACAAACCATAGGTTCCATAGGTTTAAGAACCATGTGGCCAGGTATGGCCACAGCAGCAACCCCACTTCTGGCACTAATTTCATTTTTAGTTACACTCCCCATAGCTGCGGCCCGAATACCAGAGAGAATGACTTGAAAGTAGCCAAGGCTTATTTTTACTTCCCAGTTTCAGAGTGTTTGGTCCATGGTTTCTTGGTCCACTGCATAAAGGCAGGATGGTATGGTAGAGGAAGTGTAGAGGGAAAGATCCCTTTACCTCAGGGTGGAATGGAAGCAAAGGGTAGGGAAGGACAGAGAAAGTAGTCAGTGGCTTACTTCCTCTAGATAGGTACCATGTCCTAACGTTTCCAGAACCTTCCCAAACAACACCACAAGCAGGGGATCAAGTCCCCCAACAACATGAGCTTTTTGTGGGTTCAATTCATGTATAAGCCATAGCAATCACCTCATGTCCCCTCTGAGAGTGAACTCCAGAGTCCAAAGGAGATGAGGACAGGGGGTCAGGCAGTAACTTTTGGGTGCTTCCTTCATGAGGAAAGAAGGTGGAAATCACGATTTTTCCACCATGAGCATTTTGCCTCTTCATAAAAATTGTCTGACACCTGGGAAGAGGCAGAAGAACAAAACCCTATCACACAAACCTTTGTTATCCGGGGTGCTGATGGCCTGGCTTTGGCTCTGGTGAAGGCTTCTCCTTTTTCTGTTCATGAGTTTATTCCCTCGTGGGTAATACCAAGGCATGTCTCATAAAGCTGTGGCACCACAAAAATGAGCTGGTAAGCTTGGTAGTCAGGGCAGCACCTGGACCAGAGACTGCTCTCAGCAAACCTGCCGATCATGTTTCCAAAGTTCTCCTTGTGAACAGTGCTGGTGGGGTGGGAGATGCTGCTAGCTGCTTCTAGATGCTTCCAGAAATATCTGTGCTTAAATGTGTGAATTAAAATGTAAGAATGACCTGTACAACTCCAGTGCCAATGTGGCCATCACCAAACACATGAGTTATTAATATCATTAATAATAATGAAAGGAATTTTATTCTGACGTCATGGGCACTAAGAGACTGTTCTTCCAAGTAAATTTATGGAAATGAAACCTGACACCCCCATCACGTTAGCTGCCATTCATACGCCCGGTTGTCCACATGCAGCTGGTTACTACCGTATGTAACAGCACAAGTGCAGAAGTATCTATGTTCTAGAACATTCGGTGAAAAGCAGGCTTGGCAACGAAAAGCAGCGTCTTGAGTGAGTGAGAACAGAGTGGGCAATGCGGGGAGCTAGGCTGATACGTTTAAATTGATCTTTGCGAAGCAGGAACTCTGAACTGGAAAGCATCCAGTTCTAAGTGCTTGGGGTTAAACGTGGGGATCGGAAGGTTGGGTGTCTCTCAGTGACCTGCCCGTCTTGAGGATGCAGGAGCTGAGGGTGGCGGAGATCCCGGCTGACAAGAACTGCGTCACTGGTGCGTGTTTGTCTCCAGTGTTCCTGCGCACATTCCCTTTATAATTCCTGCCGTTTGTATTTCTGTCTCTCCTTCCTTACCATGCAAACCCCCAAGGCTTCGTGACCAACAGCCGCAGATCTCCCTCCACCCACCTTCTCATTAACATCTCATTAGCATCTCATTAGCATCTGCTTTTAAATTCATGAATTCCACTTGTTCCTTGGGCTATTTTTCTTGCAACTTTTCTCCTTCCTTTACTTAGTGATATAATTTCTTGTCAGGGTTTTTTGGGGTTTCTGATGAAAATCACCTCGCTGTCTCTGACTACATCCCACAGTCATGGGCATGTGGCCTTTCTGTTCCTGTAGATGGCTATTTTTATCTTATTCCTCCTCCTTCTCTGCTCAGCTGTTGTGTTTTGAGACAGTCTTGTGTAGACCAATGCTGGCCCCAAACTTGCACTCCTCCTGCCTGCTGTGCTCACGGCCTACTTATGTCTCACAAGAACACAGAGTTTCATGATTCTGAAGGAGGGAGGTAACTGGTCAGATGTGCACCCTGATTTCCACAAACTGATTATCAATAGCACCCAGGGCTTCATTTACCTTAGGCAATCACTCCACCCCCAGGCTCACACAGCTCCACCCACAGGTTCACACAGCTCCACCCACAGGCTCACACAGCTCCACCCACAGGCTCACACAGCTGCTTTCTATAGTCCCCTGTCATTCCCTCATTCTCTGGTTTGAAGCTGAGGCAAGTGGCATGCACCTTTAGTCTCAACCACTTGGAAGGCTGAGTGAGTGGGGGCGGGAAGGATCTCTTGAGCCCACAAGTTTGAGGCTAGCCAGGCAGTGGTGGTGCACACCTTTAATCCCAGCACTTGAAAGGCAGAGACAGTAGGATCTCTGAATTCAAGGCCAGCCTGGTCTACAGAGTCACTTCCAGGGCAGCCAGGGCTACACGGAGAAACCCTGTCTCATAAACAGAACAAAACAACAACAGCAAAAACAAAACAAAACAAAAACAAAAACAAAAAAAAACAAAAAGGATTAAACCACCAATTACCTTACTTCTTGTGTAGACTATCAGAGGCTTGCGTCCCCTAAAAATGAGATTCCTCATTGTCCTGGTGACCTGAAGAACTTCTCACGATCTGGCCTTGTCAGCCTCTTCACGTCAAGTTTCCCGTCACCCACCTTTGCCAGATTCCGGTCTCTCAGTCCTTGCAGATCAGCCAAAAGCTCAAATGCTCTCCACAACCTTAGTTCCGCCCCTTACTGTGTGACCTAGAGAACATTTTGTAACCTCTCTGTTCTCCGTGGATGTTGCTGATGATGGCAGAGGTCTGCTGTGAGAGTCACTGAAGACAGGCGAGCACAGCATTCACTACAGCCTGGCCCTCTGTGAATGTCACACATAGTCCCAGATGCTCCCACACTGATGGCTTCCTGGCTCGGGGCCTCTGTACTTGCTCTCCTCTCTGTATTGTGTGTTCTGCTACATTTGTCCAGTTTCTCTCTCACCATGTTCAGGTTCCTTCCCAAATGTCCCCTCCCCAGAGGGACCGTAGCTGACTCCCCCGTGTAAAGCAGAGCTCCACAGGGCTCCTCCATTGCCCTGTGCTGATGGCGTGAAGTCCTCACCTGAAATCATGTGAACTTTATCAGTTGTCTGGCCGGGTGCCAGGTCCTGGACAACACCACAGCAGTGCCAGCAGGTTTGGGAGCACAGCCAGCATGTGGCAGATGCTGGATGGGTGGCTGTCCATGACAGCGTGACAATGAGTGGACTATGAAGATGGTGGGAATGGATGGGTCTGTGGATAGACGAGTCAACGATTCAATGGGTGGTTGGGCAAATTAAAGGGACAATGGAGAGATGGATGGATGGATGGAGGATGGATGGATGGATGGATCAATGGGTGGGTGGATGGATGGATGGATGGGTGGATGGATGGATGGATGGAGGATGGATGGGTGGATGGATGGGTGGATGGATGGATGGGTGGATGGATGGATAGATGGATGGATAGGTAAATGGTTTGGTAAACATAAGGAAGATAAAGAGAGATGGGTGAGTATGTATATTGGCAGAAAGAAGGGAGGGAGGGAAGAGCAGAGAGTTGGCTGAAGGGATGGTTGGACAGACAGAAGTATATATGGGCAGATGGATGGAGAAAGAAGGGAAGAATGGAAGATGGGAAGGAGGAGGAGTAGGCAGATGGCTGTCTGGATGACTGGATGTGGGCTGATGGGAGAAAGAAAGGAGAGGCAGTGAGGGAAGGATGAGCAGCTGACTGATTGGATGTATATATTTATAGGTAGATGGGTGGGAAGAGGAGGAGTGTGTGGAGACAGGCTGAGCGAGCAGAAGGCTGCCTGGATAGATCGCGGGGCGGATTAATGGATGTGCCAATGGATAGAAGGAAGGGAGGGAGGAAGGGCAGGTGGTTGAACAGGAGACAGATGGATAGATGGATGGTTGACAGGCGGAAGGTTAGGTGTGACACATGGACCCTCTGTGACAGTCAATATAAGCCCTGCCCTGTCACTTTTGTTTTCCCAGGCCTTCGCCCGGCTGTCCTCCCGCTCTGTGCCTCTGTGTCTCTGCTGGGTGGCCTGACCTTTGGCTATGAGCTGGCCGTCATATCCGGTGCCCTGCTACCACTCCAGCTGGACTTCGGGCTGAGTTGCTTGGAGCAGGAGCTCCTGGTGGGCAGTCTGCTCTTGGGTGCTCTCCTGGCCTCCCTAGTCGGGGGCTTCCTCATTGACTGCTATGGCAGGAGACGGGCCATCCTGGGAAGCAACGTGGTGCTGCTGGCTGGCAGCCTGATTCTGGGTCTGGCCGGCTCCCTGCCCTGGCTGCTCCTGGGCCGCTCATCCGTTGGCTTTGCCATCTCTCTGTCTTCCATGGCTTGCTGTATCTACGTGTCAGAGTTGGTGGGGCCGCGGCAGCGGGGTGTGCTGGTGTCCCTCTATGAAGTGGGTATCACTGTGGGTATCCTCTTCTCTTATGGCCTCAACTATGTCCTGGCTGGCAGCCCCTGGGGCTGGAGGCACATGTTTGGCTGGGCGGCTGCACCCGCTCTCCTCCAGTCTCTCAGCCTCTTCCTTCTCCCTGCTGGAGCAGAGAGCACTGCAGGCCCCCAAGTCTTCATCCCACTCCAGGGAGGGGAGACCAGCAAATTGGTCCTGGAGAAGCCACAGTACACCTTTCTGGACCTCTTCAGGGTCCAGGGCGGCATGTGGAGACGGACTGTAGTGGGTCTGGGGCTGGTGTTATTCCAGCAGCTAACGGGACAGCCCAACGTGCTATATTATGCATCCACCATCTTCCGCTCCGTTGGCTTCCATGGGGGCTCCTCAGCTGTGCTGGCTTCTGTGGGGCTTGGTACTGTGAAGGTGGCTGCTACCCTGATCGCCACGGGGCTGGTGGACCGTGTAGGCCGTAGAGTGCTTCTGCTCTCTGGGTGTGCTCTCATGGCCTTGTCGGTCAGTGGCATAGGCCTGGTCAGCTTTGCTGTGTCCCTGGACTCTGGTCCCAGCTGCCTGGCCACATCCAACGCCAGCCAGCGGGTGGACCTGCCTGGAAGCCCGGGTCTGCTCGTGCGTTCATCTCTACCGCCAGTGCCACACCCCAGTGGGGACCAAGGACACCCAATGGTGCCAGTCACTGAGAGACCCATCTATCCAGTCATCACAGCGTCCCTGGGACCAGCTGTGAATCCCGCCTCCTCAGCTCCCACCAGTCCTATCCTGGAGCATACCCTGCTGTGCTGGTCTGCGCTGGTTTGTATGATGGTCTACGTGAGCGCCTTCTCCTTTGGATTTGGACCAGGTAGGAGGGCTTATTGGGCAGGGAAATCCAGAGCCTTGGGTCCCTTTGAGTGGCCTTTATTAGTCTAGGAACACTGGAGCTTTAACAGTGGGCAGCTGAGGCTCCAGGATTCCCCCACAAGCTTAAACCCAACTGAACTAGCAAGATTTTAAGCCCACCCACCCCCTGCCCTGTTCCCAGAACGAAAATTTAAACTTCAGGTCTCTTCAAACCTAAGATCTATCCCTGGGTGGTTCTATCAGAAGAATCGGCTTAAAGAGAATGAAAAGAGTCAGATAAAAACCAGACATACCAGTCTGCCTAGGACCCTTCTGCTCTTGGTATTGAATGTCTTGTGTCCTAGGAACCCGAGACTGTGGCCATTCACGGGATTCCTGCAGGGGCATAGAGGGTGTTCAGTTGACAGACTCTGGGGCCAGGTGTTTGACACAGGCCTCAGCTAACAAGGGTAGGAGGTGGCCTGTGCAGCTCCTGGGTGTCCAGAATCTCTCTTGCTCCTTCCTCCAGTAACCTGGCTGGTTCTCAGTGAGATCTACCCAGTGGAGATCCGAGGGAGAGCCTTCGCCTTCTGCAGCAGCTTCAACTGGGCAGCCAACCTCTTCATCAGCCTCTCCTTCCTCGACCTCATTGGTGAGCACTCGGGCCTCATCCCAGGCCGCATCCAGCTGAACCCGGGGACAGTTCTCTTCAGAGCTAAAGCTTCCAAATTCGCTGGGTCACAGTGGCAGTGAAACCTGATGCAGCCCACTTGTGAATCGAAAGGGACTATTCTATCTTAGGTCACCTAAATGAGTGGGGTGGGTGGCTTCAAGCAAAGCCAGTCCTGAGTTTTCCCACTACAGGGTCTGTCCTTCATTCTCTCTCAGCCCCGGCAGCCTGCTCACCTCTTGGGCACCTTTCTTATTAGCTGCAGCCAAGTCCTGGACCCTGCTCCCATTGGCTCAACAAGACCACCTGTGGCAGTTCTTAGGACTGGATTACTTGTCTTCTTCCTGTGGTCAAGTGTTTGCATGTCAAGCTCATGAGGCTGTGGGGACGTTTTAGAGCCACTCACATGATGGTGTCCCAGCCTTCCTTCTCCCTGCTGCCTCTGTCTCCAGGGGTTGCTATGTGGGATGGATGAAGAAGACCAAAATGGGGGACAAGAGGGGAGAGAGGAGGGACCCATCAAGAGCCCACCCCTATCCTCAGCCCCTGGGCCCCCGGATGGGGAAGTGTAATTGCTAAGTCCAGCCAGGTGTCAGAGGACTGGACCCTGGCCTTACAGCCCCAGCCTAGGGCAGATTCCACAGAACTTGGTTTCCCTCTACAGAGAGTCCCTTTTGTAATGACCCCTTTCTTTGTCATGGGCCCCCTGACTTTAGAGGCTGCCCGTGGGCGTCATCTCTGATATGGTCCTTAGCCCTGGGCAGAGTTCTAGGTTGGAGCAGTGGCTCTGGTCTTCCAGTTCTGGCTCAGGTCTAGTCTAGGCCAGTTGTAGCTTAATTTTCAAAGTGACCCTTTGTGGCCTTCTAGAACAGAAGTTCTGGAGCTGCCTCTCATGGTTCCTGCAGCTAGCCACACTTCTGCTTAGGTGTTCTGACTCTGTGGGACCTTTCCCTCTATACAAGTTGTCCTCACTATGTTGGTGGCCCTGGTTCAGGGACAGCCAGTCATGTTCTGGCTTTCAGGTCCTTACCTGAGGGTTTGTTAGCCCTCTGCAAACTGGCCATCCCTGGCCCTTGCTACTAGCTACTAGCTCTACACCTAGGACCTGCTGGGGTGGCCTGGGACTCAAGAACAGGGTGCTCAGCTCCTGACCCCCACTCCCAACATTGTGTCCCAAGGTGCCATCGGCCTGGCCTGGACCTTCCTGCTCTATGGGCTGACCGCTGTCCTCGGCCTGGCTTTCATCTACTTACTAGTTCCTGAAACAAAAGGACAGTCATTAGCTGAGATACAGCAGCAGTTTCAGATGAGCAGGTATGTGGTGGATGAGGGGTGGGGGCTGGGACGGTGCCTCCAAAGTGGACCTTTCAGGACCTCGGACTCCTCTTTCTTTTGCTACAAGCTCACATCTCCTGCGTTACTGCCATTTTTTTCTGAGCCACTTTCCTTCAGCTATCTTGTGTCATTAGACGGTGGCTTTGCATTGACGTTAAGGCTCAGCTCCTGGGTTTGTATGTGTGCTGAAGGGAGCATACCCGGGCCTCTGCTCAGGTAACTACGTGTAAGCATTCTACCGCTGAGTTCCATCCCAGCCCTGGCTTTTGTTTCAGAGACAGAGCTCCACCATAGAGGGTGGGGCAGTGATGTCCACTGCCTCCTGCCCAGGGCTGCTGATCTCTGATTGTACGGTCTCCTTGGCAGGTTCCCTCTGAGCTTTGGCCACAGGCAGCGCAGTGGTATTCAGTACCACCGCCTGGACGTCTCCTCCTGACCTCTCCTGGACCTCCTGAGGGGTCTGTCTGCTTGGAAGATGCTGGGACATTGATTTCTGCAGCCTATCTCCAACTCCCTGCCTGCTGGGGCCTGGGAGTCATGATCTAGATTTCCTTCTGTGGTGAGCCCTGCTCCAGAGGCTGCTTCTTGCCGGGATGAGAGGTGACTGCCAAACTCTTCGTTTTGAGTGTGAGATGCCAAGGGCTCCAGAAGACCTAGCTCCATGCCTCAGTTTCCCCATGGAGTTGGCTTGTCCGCCATGTTTATAATGACATCCTCTGTGATGTGTTCACCATGTGCTTCTCAGATGACCTGAGAAGGAAGTGTCTCCTACCACCGCCCTGGACCAGCAGAGTGTGAGTCTCTGCCTTCCTCGTCCCCTTGCCAGGGTCTTAGTGATCCAGAGCCTGCATTCATCACCCCCTTACTCTTGCCCAAGATATTTATCAGGTGCTGGGACTCTGACTGGGGACAGCAGGCTGTAAATAAGATGGCTTTATGACCCTGGCCTCAGTTTGCCCCATGTGTCTCACAGAAGCCTGGGCTAGACTGCTCTTGAGCTCCCTCCTTACTCCACAGGGTTGGAAGTCTGAGAGCAGGGACTTAATAAGCACTCAACAAGGGCCCCACTCCCACCTCCATCAAGTGGCTCTGAGGACAGAAGATTTGTTAGCAGAGAGTGCACATCAGTTCCAGAGTCTACCACTCTGGAACATAAGAGCTGGACCCCAACATGTGATAAGTGCTAGGAACACAACAGTTCCCAGGGTTCAGCAGGGGACTATGAATGGAAGAAGAAACCTTTAGAGGGACTCGCACATATGTTGGTGATTGTAGCTTCTACTTTGGGTGCTAGTGACTTCCTAAAGCCTCAGTGCATTCATATGCAGAATGGGCACAGTTGTACCCCTCAGGATATATTGACTTACCCCATCTCTCTCAGGAGGGTCTTCAGTGAGCCCCGGGGGCTTCTGCTCACTGTGTTACATAGGGCTCTTCTTTGGGGCATTCATTGTAAAGGGTTAGTCAGCTGGAGATAAGCAAGTGGCTCAGGTCAGAGGTCACATAAGGAGGACATCAATAAGACAGAGTTGGTTCCTGGACACTGGGTAGCTGGCCTCACAGGCACTGTCAGTCACACCCTCCTGGTTCCCAAGCCTAGCCTCGTAACCCTGCTCTGTTTGTTAGATATTTCATTCACAACCAGTGGCGTGCTGGATTAAGCTTTTGCTGGCTCCCCAGAGCCGACTGCCACACAGTCAGGATTTCTACAGATTGGTTGCTAAGCACTGCCGTCATTTAAGAAGTGTTTTAGTTTATAATAAACAATCAATGTCATTATAATAGTTAATACTCAAACATCATCACCTCCTACGTGGTGATGGCTCATGCCTGTAATCCCAGCACTCAGGAGGCTAAAGGACTGAATGTTCTAGGCTAGTCTGGCTTCAAACTGAAACCTTTTCCAACCAAATCAATAGGTGAATAAAAAAAACCAAACCTTTGTCGCCACCTCCTAACGTCTCTGTTGTGCTTCTCCCTCCTCCTCTCCCTCCTCCTCTCCCTCCTCCTTTCCCTCCTCCTTTCCCTCCTCCTCTCCCTCCTCCGTGCTGCTGGGATGTCCTCATGTGTGTCTGATGGAGCCGGAGGCAGGTGCAGTGGATCTTACTGCTTCTGTGCTCAGTGTCTTCACAACGAACCGACCCTGTGCACGCCTTTGCCTTCCAGAGGTTAGGGAACACTGCAGACCAGAGCTTGGTTTATGGTTTGATTGATTTTTTTTCTGGATTTGTGAACTGCTGGGTCAAGTGTTAATTATATAAATTAAACTCAAAGGTGCCTCCCGTGTGTAGCTGGTATGTTGAAAACATCACAGGAAACGGGGTATGTGTGAAAAAAATCCCTCCACCGACCAGTTCAGCAGATGCTTGCTCTTGGCCTCAATGGAGGGAGCCCAACTGCACACTGACGGCTTACAGAACGCTCTTCAGATGAAGGGTTTCCTCACACAAAGACGTATACTTTAAAAGTGTTTTTGAAATAAATTATTTTGAACGAAAATGTATGTGGTGAGTTATATTTCCTCACAATTGCATACGTGTTGTCTACTAAGTATCAAGTGTCATTCTAGACCCCGGGGCAGAGTGTGGCCTAGACAAGGTCCTGTACTTATTCTGACATTCTGGCTGGGTGACTGGTCCATGAGAAAGGAAGTGAGATGAGGGAGAGAGGAACGGAAGGATAAACAGAATGCAGGGAGGAAAAACCATCGATCGACAGACACTGAATTGTAGGTACAAGATGACAGACAACACGCGAACAGCCAGAGCCTCTCCAGTCCCCAAGTCTTTTTTTACACTTTCGGAAACACTGAAAACTCTAAAATTGAAAGGTTAAGAACTGCCCTTGTCTTACACGTTACAGAGAATGTTTGGCGTCTGCTCACATTTTCCTTTGTCTGTGATGATAAATCAAGCCAGTTAAAAATGAAGGCAGAAGAGTCGGCATGGCTGTGCACGCATTTAATCTCAACACTTGGGAGGCCAGGGAAGATGGATCTCAGTGATTCTAGGTCAGCCTGGTCTACACAGTGAGTTCTAGGACAGTCAGAGAGACATAGTGAGACAAAAAGAAACCCACAAAGATAAACAGAAGTGTCACCATAGCCCCGGCTGTCCTAGAACTGACTGTGTAGACCAATTTGGCCTCAAACTCACAGAGATCCATCTGCCTCTGTCTCCTGAGTGTTGGGATTAAAGGTACTTTCCCACCATGTCCAGTGTCCCAAGAGGCTGAGTTCACAAACACTGTCCTGGCCAAGGTCAAGAGCAGCGTCCATGATCTCTCACCATTTGGCTGTGTCTTCTGCGTGTGTAGAAACTTGAGTGGCACGTGCGCTAAGTCAGCATTCCAGGTTTCCTGGAAAAGACAGAGTTTGCCAGTGGAAATGAAAATGTTTTCACTTTCTTTCTCCCCCGCCTCTATGCTTCTCAGTTTTCTCTGTGTGCGTCTCCTTTTCGTTCAGCCCTGCGAAGTTGCTAAGTTCTTCCAGACTTACAGGCCAGATGCCACCCTAAGTCTCTGAGTTTGACTGTCTGGGCTGGTGGTTACTGAGATATGATCCCCAAAACTTTCTCTGGCTTTATCTGTCAATCAGATGTCAACTTCTGGGGAAGGGGAGAACTTGGCAACAGTGCTGAACTTGGGTACCACGTTCATTGCCGTCTGCTGAGACCGAGCTGGGCACAGACCAAGTTGCTCTGCCAGCCTTGGTTGTTGAGGTTTGGTCTTTTGCTATGTGTTGTAATGCTAAATACTGGCCCCCAAGGCCTGGTTGCCCCCAGGGATAAAAGAGTCTGCACATAGACACAAGTGATGCTATATGACCTTGTTCCCCCCCACCCCCAAAGTCACCCCTGATTGGTGAATAAAGATGCCTACAGTCAATAGCAGCCAGAAGAGAGATAGGCAGAATCTGGGTTCTAGGGCTTGGGCTCTGAGGAGACCATGAAGAGAGGGAAAGAGACTGTGGGAAGAGAAGACCCCCATGGGCTAGATGAGTCATGAAAACATGGCCATGAGGGCTGGCCAATTGGAGTTCAGAGCATCCCAGATAGAACATGGCAAATTATGATCTGGGTTTATTTATTGATGGAGAAGTAGATTCTAATAGCTTAGAGGGTAGATATCTGCCCAGATCTACTGGTGATTATGGCTTATTATAAATATAAAGGTCAAGAATCTTTTATTTGGGAACTGAAGGATAAGAGGTTGGGTAGAACCCCCACCCCCCACTTGAGATTAAATAAATATGCTAACACTTGATGGCTAAGCCCAGTCACTAGCATCTTCGGCTCTACGCAGTGCAAGCTCTCCCACACTGGGCACAGGTTCCACAGGAGTGACCAGTCCTGACCATCGTGCTGCTCCTTGGCTATGAGGTTATTCACAGGGCTGTGAGTTCTACATATTGAAAGGACAGAGTCAGAAAGATGCAAATATGCTTCCTAAGATTTAGGGGTTGCTTTTTCTCTGGCTATCCACTCTCAAGCTTGTTTGTAGGTCCCAGGCAGTCCCGGGTCTGATACCTGCTTGGGTTTGTCATACTTTGGGGTAGTATTCTCCTAAGACCATTGGCTGACCCAGAACCAATTGCTTCTAGAAGTTCTGAACCAGTCTCTGGAAGAAACACACATCTTTGGCCCAGTCGTATCAGTAAACCATTGTGCTGCAGAGGCTAGCAGGCACTGTCTCTAACATAGAATTTTCTGAGCATAGGTTGGTTTTACATGACCAGATTCTTTTCTCGCATCTGGATAGAAACTGTGGATAGGCTAAATTTCCCTCCCTCCCTCCCTCCCTCCCTCCCTCCCTCCCTCCCTCCCTTCCTCCCTCTCCGCGCCCTTCCTCCCTGCCAGACAAGACCTTACTCTCTGTAGCCCAGATTGGTCTGGAACTACTTGGCAATTCTCCTGCCTCAGCCTTCTAAGGACTAAGATTATGTATGTGACCCACCACGCCTGCTGCTCTCTCAGCATTAACAGTCCTGACCCTGTTTTGGAAGATGGACTTCCAAAACAGAAATTTGTTCTTAAGAGCCAGAGACTCAGTAGCTCTAAGCTTTCAAATCCAGACGTTTACTGCTCTGGGCCTGGAGCAAAAACAGCCACTAACTCGACAGCCCTTGAGCCTCGGCACCTTAACAACTGGTACCCTCTGTTTCTGTAGGAATGGTGTTTGTAGCCCTGTAGCTTTGGCTTCCACACTCAGATCGCCACAGCTGCTCGCCTCCAAAGCCTTGGTTGGCCACAGACTCTAACCTTCTGGATCCTTCCACCACGTTTCGTCCTTAGTCCTTATAGTTTCTCCCTCACTCTTTGGAAGTCTTAGCAGTTTCCTTATAGAACCAGAAGCCTTGAGTTTTGATTAATTTTCCAGCACCTAGCTCAGCCGGCTCCACCAGTAGTAAATACCAAAAATAGATAAAAGTCCTTTATTGGGCCTGATGCTGCAACACCAGGTAGATAGCACATGGACAAGAAGCCTCCTGGTCCAAGGAGACTGAAAAACAGGCTGCTTACAGAGCCAGAAAGGGGGAGATGGCAGGATTTGAATCCCACCAGTCACAGCCTTGCTTGTGCATGGCTTCCCTTCCATCCGATGAATAGATGCGCCACCACTGCTGTCCTGCTTGGGTTTCTTGTTTGCTTGGTTTGACACCTTGTTACAAACCTAGACATATCTGGGAAGAGAAAATTCTTCCGTAAGATTAACCTGTAGGCAAGTCCGTGGGGGTGTGGTCTTGGTTGATGATTGACATGGAAGGGGCCAGCCCACGTGGGCAGTGCCTTTACCGGGCAGGTGATCTCGGGTTGTTTAAGAGAGAAGACTAAGCAAGCCATGAGGAGGAAGGCAGGAAGCAGTCTTTTCCATGGCACCTCCTTCAGCTCCTGCCTCCCGGTTCCTGTCCTGAGCTCCTATCATGACTTCCTTGGCTGATGGACCATGATTTGGAAGTGCAAGCCAAGTAAACCCTTTCTTCTCCAAGTAGCTTTAGTCATGGAGGTTCATTGCAGCACGAGAATCCCTGACTAAGGCAACATCTCCACACTGAGCCAATCACAGGCTTTTGTTGAGTCTCTAGAGAGATACAACATGCCTGTCCTGCGTGTGGCCAGCTATGGGGTGAGCAGGCTCCTCTGGAATCCACTGAGACCGTACTACAGAGAGTGGAGTTGTTCAAAGCCAGCACAATTTGCCTGGAGCAGTCAGGACTGGAGGGAGGTCTCCAGACACAGACCTTGTGGCTTCAGCAGGAACTGTGGTAACAGTGGCCTTTGAAGCTCAAGTGGAGTTGACCCAGAGTGATCAGGGGGCATTTAAAATCATTACAGGATACTCAAGAGGCCGCTTGGCCAGTAGTTCCTCAGTCGTGGCAAGCAGGCACACAGGAAAGGTCTGCCACCCACCCTTCAAAGTGCCTGTCTTAGGGTTTTATTGCTGTGAACAGATACCATGACCAAAGGGATGCTTAAGGAAAGTATTTAACTGGGGTTGGCTTACAGGTTCAGAGGTTCTGTTCGTTATCATCAAGGTGGGAGCATGGCAGCATCAAGGCAGGCATGATGCAGGAGCTGAGAGTTCTACATCTTGTTCTGAAGGCAAACAGAAGACTGGCTTCCAGGCAGCTAGGATGAGGGTCTTACAGCCCACTCCCACGGTGACACATCTATTCCAACAAGGCCACACCTACCGCAATAAGGCCATACCACCAAATACCAAGTGCTACTCCCTGGGCTAAACATATTCAAAACACCGCATTGTCAAATAACTCATCCATAAGTATTGTTCCTGGCAATACAAACCTGTGGGTAAGCACTTGACAGTTTCAGTGTGGGACCCCATCTCCAACCTCCTCAAGGAATGTGCCCCACACCTATTTCACAGATGCTGATCTGTGAAGGGGCACAGCCTCTCGTCCTTGGTTTTAGTAAAGAGTAGGAATGTCTCTAAACCTTTGAGCTGGAGGTATGGGTGGCAGGAAACATGTAGCACCCTGAGTGCTTTGGCTACAGCAGACCCCAAAGTCTCTAGCCTCTTCAGGGTGGCACTGAGCTAAGGCTTTCAAAGACATCCATCCATTCGTCCATCTGTCCATCTGTCCCTCCATCCATCCTCCATCCATCCCTTCTTCTCTCCCTCCTTCCATCCATCCTTTCATTCATCCATCTATCCTCCGTCCATCCATCTGTCCATCCATCCTCCATCCATCCTTTCATTCATCTATCTATCCTCCATCCATCCCTCCATTTACCCATCCATCCATCCATCCATCCACTCATCCTCCATCCCTCTCCCTCCATCCATCCATCCATCCACCCATCTTACCATTGTCTCTGTGATTCCAACATGGATGCAGGGGAGGATCCTGGCCACCCAGTGAGCTTTCCTAGGCCTTTGGGTTTCAGCCAGATGGGAAGCAGGAAGATGCCCCATTCATGCATCTTGGTGTCTCCACTTCCCCATCCACGTGTGCTTGGACACGAGTCCTTCGAAGTCTC